AAAAAAATTAAAAATTATATAATTAATCAATTTTATTTATATTATCTGGTATAGATTTATTATTCACATATAACTAGTAATTTACATTTGCTTAATAAAAGGGAATTGCTAAATATTGCCTGAGTGATCATCACCTGGATTTTTTTTTCAAATATATCATATAATTTATAATATATAAATATATCTATTATTTGTTAATAATTATTAAATTTGCTCAGTTAGTTCAGTGGTTAGAATGCTAGATGATTTTTTTATCTTAGAAATGCAGGTTTGATTCCTGCACTGGACCTTTAATTTTTTCAATTTTTTCATCATTTCAAAGTCACGAAGTCACATGAATTAAAAAGTGAACATCTTTAAATAATGTACAGCACGTGTTCATTTAATAAATGCAAATATTTTTCAAAATTCTTTATTAAAATAAGCATTAACATCCATTTTAAATTGGAATAATCACAATTCTATTCTAAACTAATTATTTTTAATATTTTTTTGGATTCTTTTTATGTTTGCACCTATGCGCATTGTGTCCACTGCTTTTACAGTGACTGCATATATACTTTGATCGATGTGTACTAGCAGTTCCACTTGACTTTGGATTTTGATTTTCTTTCAATGCATTTTTCATGCATTTTCTTAAAGTACCTTTTGTACATGTTTCGTAAGAGTTATTGATTTCTGGCAAATTCTCTTTGCCGATCCTAGAACGTTCCTTCTCTCTTATCCATTCTTGCAATATTTTATTTAATTCATCTTCACAACCTATTTTGAGAGCTAGTTCAATTGCTTTCTTCGCATAACTGAAACCTTGATTATATTTGGCTTGATTGGATAGATTTTGCTTGACAGTTTCTGAAAATGCTTGTATATGATAAATTTCATATAATAGGCTAAAATCTGGCCTAATTTGATATTCATACATGGGTTTGTTCTTTCTGCTGCAAATTGTGATTGCAAACTCTTCTTGAAAATCAGAAAACCTTTCATTATACCATCAATCTGGGATGAGTCTGATATGAAACATAGCTTTATCCGAATTAAACATCATTGAAAAAAATAACAGCAAACTAATCCTCTTATTACGAGCCACATGCAAGTACACAAGTGGTTAGCATTATTACATATCATCACGAAATACTCTTTATTTTGCTCAATTGTTATTACACGCCAAATCTCATAAATGCCAGTATTATTAAGGTATATAATCAGGGTATGTAAGTTGGATATTGATGATTCATAGTCATCTTCAGAAAAATTCAACTTTTCAGATTGTTCTTCATCATCATCTTATTCTTCACCATTGTCTTATTCATCATCATTTTGACCTTTATCAGTTTATTCTTTATCACCGGATTATTTATCGTTATCTTGCCCTTCATCAGCTTGTTCTTCATCGTCAGATTGTTTATCTTCAAATTGCTTTTCATCATTGGATTGTAGTTCTTTACCATCTTCATTACCTTCATCTTGTCCTTCACCAATGGAAATCTAGATGAAATTCATTGAATAAAGATGATGCATAATTTGCAAGTAAATATTAATAATATGACTTATACCTTATTTTTGAACAAATCCTTTCAATTCTCTACTTTATTTGCACAATAAAGTAAACTTTCATTCATTTGATTGTGCTACATCTTTAAAACATGAGAAGTAAGAAATTTTTTGATAATGATATCAATTCTTTTGAAATATTTCCTTATAATGTTTGGCAAACCCACTGTGAAATTTTGACCTGATTGTTCATGCCGTTCAAATTGTTCTTCTTTGTCAAAAAGTGACTGGATATGTATATTCAATTCAAACAATGTTGCTGAACTTTTGACTGATCATTTGACTAGCGAATTATAACTCTTAACGTGTTAAGTAGACTGGATTTCTGCATTAAATGATCAATTGGTATGGCATAATGCCCAACTAGTTACAACTTACCCAAATGCACGCTTTAGGTATTTTCTTGCTGCTGGATAGTCAGCAAGAAGTTCATGCCATCATTTTTGAAACTCACTCTCTAAGAAGGAATTCTGGCATTCATTCTATGCTTTCATAAAATTATTGTAATTTTTACGAAGCCAACCTCTTAGATTTTTGTCAAGGTTTTTGCGCAGATGCCAGATATAGTAATTATATTTAGTTGATGGCAGCATTTCATGAATAGTTGAAACCATCACGGGGTCTACATTAATGAATAAAATATTTGGTACAAGATTGTTTGTGGTAGATAGCAAACATTCCAAAATCTACTAATAGCTTTCTTTGGTTTTGTTTGATACAATAGCAGTTGCGATCATATGTAAACATGCATGATTATCCACTATTATTGTAAGGAATAGATACATGCAATATTTGTTCATTTGTGATGTGTTATCATTGATAGCAACATCATAAAACTTTCGTCACAGTTCTATTTGTGACAGTCTCATCCAGAAAAGACCTGTAAGATAGCTGTTTTCACCATTCAACCTCACTTTGACAAACCACTCATGTTCTTCACGATGTAATTTTATTAGCTTTTTAAATGTTTCAGCAGCATCTGTTTTCAATTTTTTCTGACCGTTCTGAAAGTGATAAATTGCATTATAAATATTCTTTGATATATTACTGTTTCAGGAAAACATTTTTAAAGTGTGCAGATAATCGGACCTGCTTTACAGCCAATATTTACAAGAAATTGAATTCTTCAAGAATTTCTGGTCCAAGTTGACAATTTGATACTAAATTTTCCTTTTCAGCGAGAAATAGTTATGTTCGTTGCATAGCAAGATAATATATATGAGGCCACCAGTGAGCCAAAGGTTAATATTCCAGAAACAATTTGATTTTACACTTTCGCACTCACAGATATCTTTTGTGTCAGCTCTTTTCTGTGCATGATATACTCCTGAAAACTTGCAACTAAAGGTACAATGTACAATCTCGCCTTCTTTGTTAGTGCTCCTAAAAAAATCCGATCTGATCTGAATCCGCAGATTTGATCCGAAACGGATTCAGATCAGTTTTGCAAATTTAAGATCCGTAAATCTGATCCGAAAGCAAATAAATCCGATCTGAATCTGATCTGATCGGATCAGATCATGGTACAAAAAAATCCAGATCTGATCCGATCGGATTCGGATCTTCATATTAAATATGATAAATAAAAAAAAAATTTTTTTTTTATTTTTATCTTTTTTTTTAGAGACTTTAGAAACGGAACCTGGACAACCGAACGAACAGTTCCTGAATGAACTAAAGGTGAGTTCATTCTTTTTTTACTTTATTTCTTTTTAGGGAAAGTAATTAATGTTCCCTTTTCTCTTTTTTTTTAGAAAACCGGACGAACGGACGAAGCCGAACGAACGGAACTTGAACGAACGAACTAAGAGGTTAGTTCGTTCATTTCTTTTCATTTTTTTACTTTCAGGGAACATAATTAACGTCTCCCTTCTCTTNTTTTTAGGAAACTGGACGAACGGACGAAGCCGAACGAACAGAACTTGAACGAACGAACAAAGTGGTTAGTTCGTTCATTTCTTTCGTTTTTTTTACTTTTAGAAAATGTTATTAACGTCTCCCTTCTTTATTTTTAGGAAACTGGATGAATGGATGAAGCTGAACGAATGGAACTTGAATGAACGAACTAAGAGGTTAGTTCGTTCGTTTCTTTCAGTTTTTTACTTTCAGGGAACGTAATTAACGTTTCCCTTCTCTTTTTTTTAGGAAACCGGATGAATGGACGAAGCCGAACGACTGGGATCTTGGACGAACGTAAGTTCATTTTTTTTACTTTATTAATTATTAAGGAACGTAACTAACGTTCCCTTTTCTCTTTTTTTAGGAAACCGGACGAACGGACGAAGCCGAACGAACAGAACTTGAACGAACGAATTAAGAGGTTAGTTCGTTCATCTCTTTTCATTTTTTTTACTTTCAGAGAACGTAATTAACGTCTCCCTTCTCTTTTTTTTAGGAAACTGAACGAACAATTAGATTCAGATCGGTTCAGTTTCGGATTTGAATCAGTTTCAGTTCAGTTCGGTTTTGGATTAATTAGATTCAGATCAGTTCGACTTCAGTTCGGTTCAAATCTGGATCNGTTTCAGATTGGTTCGGATCAGATCCAGTCAGATTCAGATCAGTTCAGATCTGTTNAGACNGGATTCGGATCAGATCAGATTTAAATCAAATCCGATCTGAACCGATCTGTTAGGAGCACTATTCTTTGTTTTTCTCAAGCCGAGTCTTCTTTACTTTAAAGCCAGTATTTTTTGCAAGGTTTTCAACTCATTTTTCAGCAGAGTCCTAGTCCTCAAACACATCTTCTTCCTCTAGTGCTTCCATTTGAAATTAGTATATTTGAATATTTATTCATAAGTTATATAACATTAGATATTCGAATATAAAATTTTAAAATTCAAATATATTATGTGATTTGAATATGTCATGTGATTCAAATATGTCATATGATTTGAATATATCCATGTGATTCAAATATAATTATTAGATTTGATAAAATAATTGTAAATTGATTTTAATAAATACATTATCAAATTTTTTTTATTAATTTTTAATGGAAGAAATAGAGTTTAATTTGGAAAAGTTTTATCTACAAGATGAAGGAAATAATTTATCATCTAAAAGAACTTCACTAGATAGTAATAATAGACCTTATAAAAAACAAAAACTTAGAAGACCAAAACAAAGTTTTGTGTAGAATTATTTTAATATCATTGATAATATTAATTATTATCAAGTCTCTGTATCAGTTTCTACTAAAAATCCTTATGGAATATATAATTACAAAGTAGAAAATAGCTCAACTACTACAAATATGATAAATCATTTAAGAAAAATTCATAAAATATCTAATCCTGCAGAGCAAGAATTGGTAAATAATTTATTAGTTTTTTTAAAATAATTAATTTAAGATATTATATGTAATTTATCGCCATGGCGATGTATCGCTAGTGTCACGTGATTCATAATTCCAGCTGGAATTAAATGATTTGCAATAAAATTGCCTTTTTAGGAATCTTGCGTAATCCAAAATTTCAATTTTCGAGAGAAATAAAATTGCCTTTTTTGGATTGTATAATGTTACCTAAAATCCAAATAAGGATATTTTGGCCAGCGTTATAAAATTTGGGCAAAATTAAACATGTGATGAATAACATGTGACAAATAGTATTTATTATACCGAAAAAATTCTAAGTCCCTAGAATAAATAGTAAAAATGGAAAACTACGGTGTGATGCGGGGGGTGACATATTATTATATAGTATAAGTCATGTGGGGTGGCGATGCATCACC